TGGTGAGGACACAAACTGAAGCTATTTGGTTGATTGACTGGCTGGTTGGTTGTTTTGTGCTTTTTCAAATGACTGATTGATTATTAGACAATTTGCCAAAGTATTTGCAGTTTTATATTTATGTTTAAAAAGAAACAAGGTGTGAAACATGTTTTGGTGCCTATGATATACAATTTAATACAGTGAGAAAAGCCACTGTAGGCAAACACTTTTAATCATTGTGCTGTAAAATTATTGCCAGTTTCATAATTCATAATGGTATACTGTTGAATTGGTCAAATATATATAACCTTTGTTTACACTCTAATAAAAACTCTGAGAAACGGGAGCCCTCTTTCACAAGCGTGCCAAGTTTACATCATGAAAGTATATATAAGTATATATGTATAAATGTTTTTGTTGCCAATCTTCAAAAAATAAAAGAATGAAAGAGTCAGACAGTTTGTTAACACTTCTACCATACTGGAACATAACACGTTATACAGCATATGTGTTTTCAAACTCTTACTATATTTCAAATTCTAGTTGAGATCCCAAAGTTTCCAAATGCTCGGTGTTCGGGATTTGATTATATCACTTGGTCTGACAATAACTGAAGTACATTTTCAGGTGCCAGCAGATATATATATATATATATATATAAGTGAATACATAGACTGAAAAGTTTAACCGACATTCCTGACCCAGTGACTTGAATGTAATCTAACTCCAGACACTAAACATGTCTGCTGTCTTTTTATCTTTCCATCATTTTCACATTCCTTCCCTTTCCCTCCGCAGGCTACCTCAGTGTGTGTCTGAGCGGCTCCTGGAAGGAGCGTTGGTGCGTGGTGCGAGATGGAAGCTTGTACCTGCAGAAGGACCCTGGGGACCAGCGGCCACCGGTCATTGTGGTGCCGCTCAAAGGTGCAGAGGTGGTGCCAGGTGGCCTTGGCCCCAAACATCCCTTCTCCTTCTGCATCCTGCAGGCAGGCAACGAACTAGCATCGTTAGAGGTACTTTATTGTGGTATCAAAAGAAGATATAGATTGGTTTGCTTTTCATGACTCTTTTTATATCACTGTGGACGGAGATGAGACATAGAGTTAACTTGTGCACAGGGACGACACACCTACATTTTTCTGGAAACCAAATAACTTTGTTTGTGCGTGTCCATCAGACCAGCTGCTCAGAGGATCTCGGCCGCTGGTTGGGTGTGTTGTTTGCAGAGACCGGCAGCGCCGCTCTCCCTGAAGAGCTGCACTACGACTACATCGACGTGGATACACTCACTGACATACGGCACGCTGCCAGAAACTCCTTCCTGTGAGTCACTTCCTACAGTATATGTGTGTGTTTCTACATGCAGTTATTTAGAGTTTTCTGTCTCATATTGTGTCTTTTATCCTGAAATGCATCTGTCTGTGCCTCTCTGTTTTTTTCCTGTCAGATGGGCCACTACCACTGCTGCTTCCTCCAGCAGTGCCTCAACAGACTCCCGCACATATGATGAGGTCTATGAAAGTGTTGCGGTGAGGAAGCATCATGTGAACTATTATTTTGCTATTGCACATTTGAATTTGTGGATAGACTATGTTCAGGATTACACATCGCTTAATCTCTCCTTATGTTTTTTTATGCTACAGTTTGAGTTAAAAATATATATAGATCCATAAAAACAAAACGGGCTCTAGAAATTTTGTACATTTTGAAAATGTACTTAATTCACCTGCAGGAGGAGGATGTTGAGAGCAGAACTGGACAGGTGAGACGTCATGCCTCCTTCTCCAGCAGGGATTCTGAAAAAACTGAACAACAGGCCGTCATAAAGAGACATGCATCCAGTGAGTCTCCTTCCATTTTGTAATTGATTAGACAGGCTAAATTATATCATAGAAAATGTGGTGGAAAATTGCTAGACATGTTACATCTGGCTTCTCCTGATCAGGATTGTAGTAAAAACTAAAAGTAAACAAACATCTGCACCAGTATTGCTCTCTTTGTTAATATCTGCCATGTATTCTGTCAGATGTAAATCAGTATGCAAGGTATGGGAAGACGCGTGCAGAGGAGGACGCCAGGCGGTACCTGACACAGAAAGAGGAGCTGGAGAAGCAAAAGGAAGAGCTCAGAAATGCACTGATTTCCCTCCGCAGGGAGAAGAAGGAGGTGAAGGAGGAGATGAAGAGCGTTACAGGTCAGTGAGAAATCACACACGCAGCACTGTTTAGACTTCAGCTTTGTAGCAGTACTAACTATGTGTGTGTATGTGTGTGTCCATGAAGGTCATGGTGTGGAACAGCGGTTAGCCAAGCTGGAGACACTGTGTAAACAGAAAGAGGAGGAGAGGGTGGAGCTGGAGCTCAGACTAACGGAGGTCAAAGAAAACCTACAGAAATCATTGGCTAGTGGAGCACTGGGTCCGCCCACTGACACCAAGATCAGCGTCAAGGTAGGCCACTAACTGCAGAGACACTCTCCTGTATAATTCATAAAACTATAAACTGTGAACCACTAAGAGAAATCCACGAGTTTAAGAAACCTATTCTGTCATTTGTGCAGCTCCGGGCCCTTAGACAAACAATTACTGGACATCTTAATAAATGTATGAATTTATCTTACTGTTCTTGGTAGATGTCAGATTCTGAAAATGCTATTATGTGGCAAACCTGTGTCCCATCACAAGTTGTGGATTTACAGAGTTACATGCTGGACTGTTTCTTGCCCGCAGACAGTGACCTCCTGGAGTCTCCTCTGGTTGCCTGTCCTGCAGAATGTCTCTGTTCGTGGCTAAGAAATTGTGGAAGAAAGCATAAACTTAAACTATTCTTTTAAATGAGTGAAATCTGACATTTTTGTATGTTGGTCTGTGTGTTTATAGGCACAAGGCAGTAAGGTTGAAAAGGTTTACAATGAGACTGTGCCGGTCAACTCAGCATCTGAGCTTCGTAAACGCCCTCCGTCTCTTTACTCCTCCTCCAAGGGGAACGTCATGCAGAAGGCAAAGGTGTGTGCAAGACTGCTGCTTTTGTGTGTGTGTGTGTGTGTGTGTGTGACAAAGACAGAAATGTTTTACTCACTCTGTGCTGTCTCACGGTTTCCAGGAGTGGGAGTCAAAGAAGGCGACCTAGACTGAACATAAACAGGTCGACAGATGGATCCATGGAGAGAGAAAAAACTGAACTGTGACAGGAATAAGTGTGTAAAAGATTGAACCAGATGAAGAGCAAGATAACTGACACTGAGAAGATGAATAAGAAGAAGGGGTAGGAGAAAGGGGATGAGACTCTGATACAATCTTCCCTCCTCTTACCTATAAAGAAAAAGAGGAATGTTTGCAAGTCCAGTCAGCATGGTGCTGTCTCAACTACAGTTAATATGACTGATGTACCAGTACAGTAGTAATGTGGATTACTATGAACATGAAATATATGTTTTTGTGGGTTTGCATGTGTGTTTACATTTGCACAGGGCTGCAGAAATGTAAAATGTGATTATTTCATGGAAATGCATAGCAAAGGGAGCGTGTGGTTCATCAACACTGTGAGTTCAGAGTTTCAGGCAACACTTCCTACCTACACCCACTGGTTTTATTCCTTTTTAACAGGATACTTTTCAATGTAAAATGAAAAACTAAAGTAAAGAAATTATTCTTGTTACATTAAGTTATCTTTATTAGTGAGAGAAGTATTCCACATCTTGTGAGGTGTATTTAAACCATTAGGAAAGCATATTGAGTATGACACTGTTCCTAAAACCAATGAGTAAATGTTTATTATTGCAATGTGAAACTATTGGTTTTTAACCATTATATGTGTATTGTTTTCATATTTGCCTTTTGCACTTTATCTTCTTGTATTTGTCTTAGCACCCCACAATCATCTGAGTCTGCTTTCCCTGTTCACCACAGAGATATGAACAAACACACACGTGTTGGAGTTAAATATTACTTTATCAGGAAACTTTGTGTACTGGACTGTTTTTTTGTGTTGTTGTTGTTGTTGTTCTTTAAATGTTTACATTTCTTAAATTCCCTACACTGGAGCATTTTTGTCTCTGTCTAGAAGTACCAGGAGAAGTTAAATGTAAGAAACTTACAGCAGAATCACCACTCTGCCATCTAGTGGCGAAATTAAATTATAGCACTTCTTTGAACATTGTGGAGTTGGTTAGGATACAACATGCTTGACCAGTTCAAACTAACTGCGGCAGCAGCTCTTCCATTTTCTTTCTGTGAATTGAATTGTGGAAGAAAAAACACACCAAAATCAATTGGTTTTTCAGTGTGCATACTGACTTTTTTTTAGTATACTATGTCACTTTTGAAATATGAACATATTACACACTCAAAACCTACTTAGGTCGTCTGAAATAACGGGAGAAAGGTTCTGCTGTATTGCTCTGTATGGATTGAAACAGAATCATACTTGATAAATGACAAAGGTCAGTTCACCCCAAAGAAAAAGAAAAAGAAAAAGAAAATGTTTTCTCACTCCCCTAGTGGTACATGGGCAAGATAGTTTCATTTTATTTCCCCAGGATTTGAGAGGAGGATCTCCTTCAATAAGGGTGAATGAATCTTGCGTTAGAAAAAGTTACATTTAAAAAAAATCAGCAACAACCTCTTTGTTAAGAATTAGTGTCTCACAGAAGTAACTCACAGAAGTCACCTTAAGCACATTTTCATAGGGACAATTTTTTCACTCAACAAATGAAATTCCAATCACCCCCACTGTAGTGAGGAGGTGGCAGAAATCTCTGAGGCAGATATTACAAAACCTGAGCAAATTAAACCAAAACTATCTGCATGTCACTAGAGGTAACTTTGACACTTTAAACCACAGCAGTGCATCAACACTTACTACTATATATACGCTATACTATGTATACTGTACATGTATACCCTATACTGTTAATTTAATCTCTAACATTGTAAACAAGACTCAAAGCATTTTAATATGACATCAACCCGGGTGAAATAAATCGACAAAAATAAGACAAGACAGTCTTTTAACTTCTTTAGAAAGAGTTTATTTAGTGCATTTCTAGTTTGTCCACAGCGGGAACCAAAATATTATGTTGATCTGTGCTCCCATTGGTTCTGGTCGAACACCATTGGTCCACTCATGTTCTGGTGCAATACTGCTGGTCCAGTAGTGTTCCAACACCCTCAAATTGGTTCACTAGTGTTCTGGTACGACACTATTGGCTCACTAGTGTTCTCTTTTGGTCAGGAACACGTAAGACCAGAAAACAAAAAAGGACCTTCGGCATGCTGCTACTGAGCAGAGGTCCACAAGCTTCCATGCAACAACAAACAAACAAACAAACGGCAAGGGACAACAACAACAAATGGAAAGATAAACAACAGCATTGCTTGTAAGAAGTAAGCATGGAAGCATATACAGTAAACCTTATTTTAACCTGCTAAAGCCCTCAGGAGGTTTGTCTGATATACAACAGATCTTAAAAAGGTAAAATCCCCCCCACCCCACCCAGACACATGCGTGCGCACACACTCGCTCTCACATGCCCACAAACACACACACTAACACACACACACACACACACACACACACACACACACACAACACACCTACTTCAAGCACAGCATATACTTTGCCACTCACTCACACACACACACACACACAGGCGCACCTGCATGCAAACAAATGATCAGTCCTCATACACAAGGTGTACAAGGAATACGTTCATTATTTTTAAAAATATGACTTAACCCCAAGAGCTCTGTGTAAACATAGCGTACGGTAGAATAGATAAAGACTTCCTTCCTTTGTCACCCTGGAACTTCCAAGCCACTTTCCTTCTTCACTGCAATAACATAGTTAGTTAATACTTTGACTCTTTGGTTCTCTGTAACAGTCTGTTTATCTGACATTGTGACTGACTGACTGACTCTCTCCATCCTTTTCTCTCTCTCTCTCTCTCTCTCTCTCTCCTCCCTTGATCTCTCTAGTTATTATATAGCAGAAAGAGTAGTCAAGGGAAGAGATTCACAGATCCTGTCCCTCTGCAGACCAGAACAGCAGAGCCAGATGGATTGATTGTCCTTGATTTATTTACATCACAGTCAGTCACAGTGGGCTCCGTTAAGTGGAAGAACACATTCCTGTCCTCCTTCATTTTGTCCTTGCCTCCTCCTACCACTCGCCAGCCTGTTGTGTGGGCATGTCGGCCTGAGATCTGTGTGTGTGTGTGTGTGTTTGTGTTTGTATGTATGTGAGGTGTGAAGGGTTGGGGGCTAGGATAAGTCATTGTTGCTGGGCGACTTCCCTCCGCCATTTAGAAGGGCCGAAGCGCTGCGACTCTTGGTTGGCGTACCGCTGCCTGACCGTGAGAGTTCTGTCAGGTCATGGAGGGAGGGCTCCCTATACATGGCCACTGCGCACACACACACAAACACACACACAAGACAAGAATTAAATTATTAATCAAGTTGTTGATCTAAATGACTCACTCTGGTTTAGTATGCACGTCTTGTTCAGGCAGTTAGGTACATTTAGTTCCCCTACACGTAGATATCTGAGAGCTTTGCTTTATGTAAACAGTCTAATTAATTCTGGTTTTAGAAGAAGCTCGGACTACCGTTTCAAAAGAATTCCTGCAATGCTAAGCTGAGTTTTAAGTTATATATATATATATATATATATATATATATATATATATATATATATATATATATAAGATAATTAGATAAGATATATTTCATTGTCCCCAAAGGGAAATTTGTTTTGGACTCTGTCCGTTCTGCAGCTTTGCAAAGACAACACAAAAATACAGTGAACAGACATCTCTCAACAAAACACGTGCACTCATATTGGTCAGGTATCTATATAAGTAAGCAATAGTGAGGATTTCTAGTCTGATGATGTTATTGGCATTACATAAACAAATTATTTTTTCAGAAAAGCACTGGAGGCCACAGAAACAAACGGCAATGTGCCTCTGATATAAATCACCATTTAAGTTGCAAGCCAGTTACAAAACAGTTGCCTATTTACACACAAAGCAGATACAGAGCAACATTAGCATTCATTTGGAGTCAGGTTTGTGTCTAACTGATGAATGTAGGTCCAATAGCCAATCTCCTTGTAGCTTTGTTTTGCTCTCCACTAATTTCTGAGGGAAATATCTGGCTCTTTATCTGCTAAATGCTCCCCTGTGTTCACCAGCTAGTTGCTAACTTTCTCTGCTCGCTGTTTTGGTGCTGAGCAGGTAGTGTACACTGGGTTTTAAGAGCCTTTTTTTTCTGAGAACACCTGCTTTTCACATACAAGTAGTCATGTGATCCATTGTAAATATATACATATTGACAGATTATAGCCAATCTTCTTGGATCTCTCTTCTTGTCTTCATTGTTCTATTTCCACAATAATTTTACAGTATTTCTTTCAATATTAATGTGTACTTTCTTACTTTCTTCCATGTCGCTAAGATGTGCTTTCATCTCTGTCTGTAACTCTATATGTGTGCCATCTAAGCCATGTCTCCCTTGGGTAAAATAAAATAATGCCCTTTTCTTTTTGCATTAATCTATTAAAGATATGTTCAGGAAACAGAGTGCAGGGGTGATCGGCTGTAAGTTAGTCCACACAGCTGGACATTTTCCATTAGTTTTCTGAGATTCTGTTCAGTTGATCGTCTTAGTTTTCTCAGATAGCTTACTTTCAGCGACCGGCATTGCTTTCAGCGTTCTTAAATGAACAGTTCTTGATCTTTTGCTTAGTTGGTCTGTCTGATTTGAAGTTGGGGGGACTCTGTTGGAAAAAAGTGATGTACCAGTCAGAGTCAAAGTCTGATGACTGATGATGAGTTCTGGGTCTGTTTGCTTATGTTACCAGGGAGACACTACTGTCAATCAAATCTGATTAAAGCCTAACCACAAAGACCTAATGACGATATTTCGTTTTTAAATGTTAATTATCTTATTATTATTATCTTATTAAGTTATAATTAAGGATGTTTTTGCTATCATTAACTTCATTTGTTGCTTATTTAATCATGAATGTTTTAAGATCCCATCCAGACATGTTTTGAAGGGTCAGAAAACCTATTTTCTCAATCATCTTCCTATTTCCTATGTTTTGAAGTAAAATTTCTCTGATATGTTTTTTCAACAAGAAAAGTTAAATAAACTACTCACAATATTACTAAAAATTACACCTTCTTACAGAAAAATCCAAAATCTATGGATATGTTTTATTTTAGAAGTTTAAATGTTAAAACACAAGATGTCTCCACCTTCACTGAAAAGTCTCTGCATGTGTCCTGAAAGTTTCAAGTTTCCATCACACTTCTGTAAGTTGCATACTGTGCCATGACTGGCTTCCAAACTAGGTGTGATGTTACAAACTTAGATTTAAAGTGAACATAAAGAAGCTTTTCAGACATCCAAATGAAGTGAAATAACCAAAAACCTTTAAGTAGTAATGTGTATACTTTCCCAGAATAAAAGTCTACTTCAGTTTAACATTTGTCTGTTTCTGCCTGTTAACAGAGCACTACTAAGCAGTTCAGTGCAGTTCACTAGTCTTACCTTTGAGCGGTTTGGGTATGAAGTGTGCGGCTGCCTTGTTCTTCTTGACGTGGTTCCCCTTCATGATTCCACCCTCCTTGTTGAGTCCCAGGTACCAGGCCCGACCTGAGGCCTGCTGCCGGTACAGCATGGAGGAGTAGGTGACATAGTAGTTCTCAAACACCGACTCCTTGAACTTACACTCCGGGGTAAAATGTTCCTGATGGGAAAGTGTGACAGATATTAGAAGAACTCATAAAAGAAAGAACACAAGGAGGTGATTGAGGACACATGGAGAGGTGTGTGTGTGTGTGTGTGTGTGGAGTGTTAGCCGCAGAGAAAGAGCAGGGTCACAGAAGTTATGAGTATGAAATGGCAACTCCATTAAAAAGTGTTCAATCATTACTCCATATTGCCATCAGTCTATTCATCCATCAGTTGGTCCGCTACTTGAGTCATCATCTCAGCCAGGCTGTGGTCTCCGAGAACAAACTGCACCAACTTAGGACAGCTGACATTTGCATTTCCTTTTTCCTGCATCTCCATAGCAACCAGCTACTCCCTTGAATACCAACCAGCCCACTGAGAGAAAGATGGTGCCCAGGTTGCCAGGAGAAACAGAAAGATACAGAACGCTCTTTCTCTCTGTCATCCATTAATCTTGTATGAATTGTGATTAAGTTGTGTGCATGTATGTACGTATCTATAAATATTTTGTGTGTTCTGCATTTAATATCAGGTGAGAAGATGGAACAGGTGATATCAATGTTATGACTGAAGCCAAGACAACCCAAAAGCATCCAGGACTGGACATGATGGGCAAGATATTGTGGTGGCATACGTGCCTGTTCAGGCGTAGCAGCATGGCTGTTATTACACTGAGGTGTGAGTCATTTTTTTATTTCCTCTTTGTTCCTTTTCATCTTTTGCTCTCACAGCCTTGTCTAGATTGCTGGAAGTGCGTGTTATTTTTGTTGATTCCTTGTTGTTATTGCAGCTACACTACCCACCATCACAGCTAAGGAGCTAAAGTGATGCACTTAATGCACTGCACTGCAGCCAACACTGCCTTCTGACCTGTCTGAGGAAATGTATGCACAGTGGGAATGTACGTGTAAATCTAGCTGGGAAAGGCATAACAACGCATTTCAGGAGCCATGTGTAAATAGACACAGAGTAATCTTCCTATCAAAGAATGGCTGAAGGGAGATAAACAAAAGGAGGCTGATGGATGACCTGAAATCAATCCTGAGAAGCCACAATATCAGCAGATAGATAAGAGAGGCTCAGACACAGGATTATGGAAGCTGACTCACAAGACACCACTGTAGTTAAAGTATTGATGTGATGATAGGATGATAATGACACTGGTCACACTGAGAGCTGCTGCTTCATTACTCAATCTGACCCAAAGAAGAGAGTTTTAATCTCTAATGGCCCGTAATGATCATGATGATGATGATCAGAATCACAATGAGATGCTACTGGTGGTGGTGGTGGTGTGGGTGTCTGTAAGTGTGTGGTGACCTACAGAAGTGTAGAGAAAGCCTTCGTTGTTCATGGCCAAATAGAGTTTGGTCTGGACGCCCTGGATGGCCACCACACGAAGCCCCACTGGGATCAGGTTGAACACAGCTATGGAAGCACACAGAAACCCACACACACATGCACACACACACAATAAACACACAGGCAGACATAGCAAACAAAAAGAGCACTCACACAGTGATCACAGAGGGAAACAGAAAAAAACATCCTCATCAATGTAGCATCTGGTAGGATGACACCTCCCTTTTGCCACAGAGAAGCTATTTTACAAGGTCACTCAGGCGAAAAGGCTACTGAATAACACTAATGATTTAACTCCTGATATTAAACATGGGATGAAAAGGATAAGAATTATGAAAAGGCACATAGCAAAGCAAGGATTGCTATTTATTTGGAAGTGTAAGGACTAGTTTAGACAAAACAGCCACACAGTCTCTATAGAGTTTATAGCTATTTCTAACACTGTGTCATAAATTGAAACATTCCTACTAGGGCTGAAACCAAGGATTACACAACCAACTAATCTGTCAACTATTTAATCTTTTAAACATTTAGTCTATAAAATGTCAGAAGGTAGTGAAAAACGCTCATCATAATTTCCCACACTCGCGTTCAAATGGTTTGTTTAGTTTGAGCAACATTCCAAAACCCAAATATATGACATTTACACTGACATAAGTCATTTTAGAAGCTGAAATATGAGACAGTTTGACATTTTGTGTAATCAAAAATGTTGTTGAATAATAAGCAAAGACAGATAAAGGGTCTACAGTAGATTTAAAGCTATAGTTTTTGGTGTATGGAAAAATTACATGACAACATTGATAGTAGTATCTATAATTTTTTTCGTTATTGTTGTTTTCCCGGTGTTTTGCATTCTGTAGGCACAAGCAAAAAATTTTTTTATATGTTTCTATGGTAAAAGGTGATATGAGAGACATAATTATTCCAGACAGTTTGATGAGTCAGGCCCTTGTTTAATTACACTCATTTAGCCAACCATGTTCTTTATAATGACTGTGGTTGTATTGTGAGATGTGGATTACATGGATTATCCATTCAAATCCAGTCACGGTTGAATGATTTCATGTGGGTAGGCGTATACATGATGCATACACCATGTAATCATCTAATTAAAGAATTTGCTTCCTTTATTGTAACCACATCTTTCTCTTTTGTATACACAACAGTTGGTGGCCTGAGGAGTGGCAGAGATTAATGCGTGATGCTGGTAACACCAACTGCGCACAAGAAGGAGAGCGAATGCCGTCTGAGCTACGACAACAGAGTGAATTAGCTATATCAATCACACATTGTAGCCCGTGTGTGTGTAAGAGAGAGAATGAAATCGAGCGAGCGAGGGAAATTTTGTTCATTGGATCAGCTTGTCCTGGTATCTTTCAATTTTTCACAGATTTCAACATTGCACTGTGCATCCTGTGGACATTTAATCGATTTCTTTAACTGGGAAACATTTAACATAGGCAGATTGCCTTCTGACATTTGGAAGAAAAGCAGGTGCTAGTTTACTAATTAAATGAACACTTGACATGTTGTTAAGTGACTGTCAAACCGATTTCCTCAGGGTGACATTTATCTTTAAATTGGATTTTAACTGGTTTTGGATAAAAAATGCCAAAGTGGATATATGGGAATTTATCAAAATCAGGCCTTGCTAGATAATGAACCATAAATATGTTGCAATGTTTTTTGTACCTTGAAGTTATATTGAATATTATCAGTCTCTACTGTGCAGTAATGCTGTATGTGTTAATCTTTATAACCTCTAACGATCCCAGATTGAGGTATTAAAACTATGATTCAACCTGTGCTGTTGCTCAAATGTTGTCTTTCTTTTGTAAAGATTTTCTGTTTTTTCACTCATTTACAATTTATTTTCTTTATCCCAAGTAAAGCAGTTTACATGCATGTTTGAGACCGTATTTATAATTGTTAGCAGTGTTGGAGCACATTTGTCTTTCCATTTGTGGTAACTTAGCTTCTCTAAAGCTGACTTTAGAGCAGAAATGGTGATGAGTTGACTACTTGATTAGTTGATCAACAGAAAATGAATCTTCCAAAATGATAATAGATTCATTGCGTCAGTCATTTTCCCAAGCAAAAATACTCAACACCCAAACATTCTCATTGCAATAATTTGATGCTTTTCCTTTTCATATATGATAGTAAATTGAATATCTATCGGAATATTGTTTTGGACTAACACAAGCAATTTGAAAACGTCGCCTTAACCTCTGGGACTTTTTGATAGACATTTTTCACTGTTTTCTGACATTTTGTAGCCAAAACAATTAATAAAATTTATTAATAAAATTAACGATGACTTGAGAAAGTTTTTGGCAGATGAATCCATAACAAAAATACAGATTACTTGCAAAGTTTATTTTTTGAATAGAAGGCAAATGAATAAAATCAGTGGATATGGCAAAATTTGTATGCCCAAAGACCAGATTTAGACTTACCATAGGTGCTGTCTTCATCCTTGGTTCCATCAATGGTGCCATCAGGCTGCATCTGCAGCTGGAAGCCCTGGCGACTGGAAAGCCTGGTCACAATGCCCTTTAACTGGGGCTCTGAGAGGAGGAAAGGAGACACATTAAGTGGATTCATTCCTTACTACTATCATGTGATCACATCTATCAAATCCAGGAGTCTCCAAAAAGCCGGAAGCATCAGAGGAGAAGCTATTTCTATTTCCAATCACTGGGCTATGAGGGCCCATTATCGATCCCTGACCCCCTGTACCATTGTGGCGCACAGATGTAACATGATGGTAGGAGCAGTTTTCTGATATCTCCATCTGCTATCAAAGACCAATGCTGCTCCAACACTTTGCTACAGGACAATACGAAGTCATTTACGTGAGATTTTTGTGGTGTCATGTAGCCAAACAGGACTATTCCTGAGCCACTGCCAGGAGGAGACTATTCAGAGGGTGATGAATGATGAAGAGATGAATGAGCAGCCTTAGTGATGAGAGAAAATGGTGTTGGTAGGGGGTGATGATGGTAATGATGCTGGTGTTGACGGTGAAGATGGTTGAGGTAGTGGTGGCTTTCCGACTTTTCTCTCCCCCACTCTCTGACCTGGTGGTCGCCTTCTCTTTCGTTTCTTCCTCGATCCAAACAATTTGACACGCGAGAAAACGTTCAGCTTGCTCGGCTTCTCGTTTGCGCCTTTGCTGTTGCTTGGGCTGCCGCTGCCGCGGCAAGCGTTCGCCTTCTCCCGCTCCCTTGCCTGCCGCTTCTGGCGGATCAGGGAGCTGGCGATAGCCGCTGCCCGGGACATGTTCCCCCGGTGGAGTGAAACAAGGCTGTGCGTCCCGGTTACGGGGGGGGGGGGGTCGCGAATAAGGCGGTTGGGGGTGTGTAGGGTGCGGGGAGGGGGTCTACACCACCCACGGCTCAGTTCGCATCACAGACCGGCTGCTGCAGTCTCAGAGATATCCGTGGTTTCAAATAGCGTCCAGAATCCTCCATCGGTGCGTCCCGGCGCTTCATTGAAGTCGTTATACAAAATAAAGTAATCTGCCAGTGAGGAAGCCTAAACGATGCCGCCTCACGTCCCCCAAGGGGTCTGAGTGACCAAAGCTGTCTGGCTCCCCCTCAGGTGATTCTTCTGGCCGTCCCGAGAGAGCGTGGAGGAAGATAAGGGTATCCGTATGCGTGGGGATCCGGTCCGGGTCTAAGTGGCGAATCAACAGCTTATACGCTGGTGCAAACGACACCAGGGGTTGTTGATGATGCTCACTGCAGCTGCTGCTGCTGCTTCTTCTGCTGCTGCTTCTTCTGCTGCTGCTCTGCACCGCTCCCCGGGTGATGCTCCGCTCCTCGACGTTGTCCGTGACAGAAATGCAGCAGCCGGTATGTTTGTCAATGAAACAGCGGGGGGCTGCTTCAGTTGGAAAGGGATCATGATGCAGCCGTGCCGTTCATAAATCTGCTGCAGCCCTGCCCGCCGCGAAGAAGAAGAAGAAGAGGGGCGGAGATGGATGTGGTTGTGTGTGAACGTGTTGTGTGTTTGTGTGTCTATGTAGGGAGGGGGTCGGAAAGGGTGTTGGGGTGCGATAGGGGAGGCAGCTCCTTCCCATAGGGCACCTGTAGCCCTGAACCCCACGTGACATGATATTTACATGTTACACTGAATACTGTTGTTAGATAGGCAGGGAGAGTGAGAGGGGGGTAGGAGATGTAATATAGGAGGAGAAAAATAAGCAGCGAAATAAGAGGGGCAAGGAGACAGACAGGTAGACAGGTGAATGAATGAGAGGAGGAATAATGGAAAAGGGGGGCGGAAGAGAGAAAATTAGATATTGAGTGTGTGTCTGTGTGTGTGTGTGGGGGGGGGGGGGGGGGGGGTTGTAGAGAATACACAACCCACAAATGGATTGGGAAAAGAGAATGATGAATGAAAGAGAGGAGGAAAACATTGAGCGAGAGAGATATAGGCTATATTATTGAGTGGGTGAGAGAGAGTAAGATGAAATAGATGGGGAAAGGACATATTACATATGAGGAGGCATGAGGAAATAAAGTACAATATGAGGAAAGGTAAATTAATTGAAGGGATAATAATGGAAGAGAGAGAGAGACCTGGTGAGTGTGTGAGAGAGAAAGTGGAGAAAGAGAGACAGGAGGAAAGGAGGGGCTCTCATTTTATTTTTGGTGCAGAGGTTCGCCGCTGCTGTGAGGCTGCAGCGTGCCAGAAGGTGGTGAATAACGAAGACAGTCACTTGGATGATTTCTAAGATGTTCCCTTTGCATTCACACCAGAGCAGGCGGCACGCGCGTACAGCAGCAATCAGCAATTTCATGCATGTCTGCAGGCCACAGACAGCCCCCACAGGGAAACAGATGCACAGCTGTCAGCGCCAGACACAGCAATGCCGCATGGCAACTGCAAGTCCAACTGGTCCTGAGGAAAACGAGGCGGTGGACAAAGAGCTGACTTACTCACAGCGGAGGTCGACCTGTGGCACCTGGCGCCGAGCAGCAGGCAGAGCCAGTGCGTGCTGCTCGCCAGTGGGAAAGGTAGCGAAAATCAATGGCTGGAGATCAAGAGGATGTGGTGAGCAGCAAATTACATGACTGGAGAGGAGAATTAACCAGTGGGTGGAGGAGAAAGTGATGGACTGTGGAACTGGGGTCAGGACATGGTCACTGAAGTGGAGCCCTTAGCGTGTCCTTGACTGAAGGAGTTGAAGTTACACCTATGGCCTTCTGGTTAGGTAAGATCCTTGTAAATGTACAGATAAATACTGTATACTGTAGGCGTTACTGTGCAGCTCAGCCCACACGCTGTGCATTCCCCGAGAGAGGATAGTCATAACCAATCTGCGATGTCATCTAAAAGCAATCAAAACATGAAAGCAAACACGCGCAACCACAGTAATGAAATGGCTGAAAGCTAGGTCTAGTCCTTCATCTTTCATTTATGGGATCCTTTTAAACCCAAACCACGTGCCCCTAAAAGCAAAAGGCAGACAAACAAGAGCGAACAATATGTAACGTCAAACAGTAGGCTTACGAGCTGCAGGGAAAACAAGCAGCTGCCAATTCTCACCCTTCAGCACGATAAAAAATTGAAATGATACAGAAAACAAGCAAATCAATAAGTGAATCGATAGAAAGGCCAGTCAACAATTAAGCAGCAAAACAACACAGAGGGAAGAATTAGGAACAGATTTGTTTCCGGGATTAAAAAATATCCCTGTTATTTAAACGGATAGCTTTGATTAATTACTGAATAAACAAATCTACATGTAAACAGAAACATGAAATCCTTAATGGGATAGATTGTTCCATTCTTAAAATCAAATGAAAATAAGTGATTTAAAAGATATATATATAAACTTGATCTGTTGCATCTATAGTCATTTGTGCTGTCAAAATCATGTAAACTTTAATAAGGTTTGGTTGGGGCTCCGTAGCGCCACCTGTAGACGCAGTAGAGTTTGACAAAAGAGGATGGAGAAGAGGGAGTTAATCCTGACAGAGAAAACGACAATAGCTATATTTACAGCAAACATCCAGAGAGAGAGAGCCGTTATGTGTGTGATTCTCAGTCTAACCATGGACGCCAGTTAGAGTCCAGCCTCGCGCAATAGAAACCCAACAGCACGCAGCAGTATTCATAATAGAGTCAAACACTTTGCAACAAACCACTGAGGCCTTTAGGAGGTCGACCATCAAAACCCGCAGAGAAGAAGTGGGACATTTTGCTTAAGGGGAAAAGTTATTATGGTTAATCTTATTTTGAGAGAGGATGTAAGAAACCGCCCTGCAGGCCGACATGGGTTCTGACAGTAAAAACGGATTAGTCCGGGTGCATAGCGCTGAAACTTTTGAGGGTCTCCGAGGGAGTTGATGTTAACTCATGTTACGTCAATTATCCTGCATAATTTGTACGAAATTAGCATGTTATGTTATGTTAAGTTATGTATTTTTGAAATCTACCATGAGCGCGCAGAGGACACCGGTACAAGTTCAGGATCTCACATTCCTAAAATGCTTTAAAGATGGAGTTTACTCTCCAGGCCACAAGAAATACAGCAGTATAACACTTGCATCTTAAATTACAAGGCCATTCTTCATGAATATAGCTAATATATATATATCAGTATGTAGGCCCTATCTATAAAACTGTTCGGAGCAGTCCTCCATCGGCAGAAGGGCGCGCCCCGGCGCTGTTTTCAGCACCACGGAAAGCGCTTCAAGTTTTTAATTGAATTAAAAACACGTTTACATTTATACCATAATGATCGAAAATTAAATATTTTGAGAACATTTTAAGGTCCGAAAAACCGAACAATCTGTAATTTCAACAAAGCAGTATAAGTAAGTATTTACTTATATGTTTAGCCTGTCCCTTTTCTCCTATAACAGCCGGTTCCCAAAGCATACTGAGTTGTGATAATAAACGTACAGCTGCCTTTAAGAATTTTATAACAGGATTACTATAGGCCTGATTACTATAATCTCGTTATTTCAGACAGTTCCCCCCGGTCCTACCTGAGGTCGATCGGCGGATAGGGAAACTCATGCTGCGCCCGTGGAGCTCCGGAGCCTTGTGCTCATGGCTTTTCGCACTTCCTGTTGTGCGCTTTGCTCGACGAAAAGAGGAGGAATTACCGAAGTTCAGACCAGAGAATTCTCCAGGGCATTGGGTCCATTAAGGCCCCGCACATGGCGTTGACGGGAGATCATTACAGAACATTAGAGGCCATTAAGCCGTTGGAACCGGTCATTAATGATTCATGTCAAGGCCCCGCTGATCTGGCACAATAAGAGAGGGAGGGAGCCAGGCGGCCTTTCCCAAATCCAAGGATCTATCTAGGAAGCAGTGTGTGTGCGCGTTTGTGTGTGTGTGTGCGCGCGCGCGTGCGAGTACACCAGCGGGACAAAAGTAATTGTAATACGTGTAAGGACTCTCAATTAGTCTCTGACCCCAAACCCTTCAGGTAGTACACACCATTTACTTTATTTCAAAAACTTAAACATAATAGCCATGTAGTTTTCAGTGCCAGATTTGATATAGCTAATTTAATGTTTCTGTCTACTTTAAGACTGTTTTA